GGAAAATTTTGTAGTTTTAGAATTAGTGGCTAGTCTCATTGTGTAAACTTGGTGATAACATTTTTGCCAAGCTCAAACACATCCATGATCTTTTAAAGAATTATCTTACAGACTGATGTGCAGGACCAAATGGAAGGGAATTCTTACAAAAAAGTGAATCCATTGCCCTACTGCTAGCTAGTTAGTGTTCATGAGGCTAACAAAGTAGAATAAAAATCATCAAAGGTTGTCCTACCTTTTGAGGGGGACACAATGTTCTGGCCTTGGTGGTTAACAGTGGGAGAGGTATATTCAGAAATGTATTACTTTTCAGGTAAATTAAAATGTAACCTCAGTAATTAAATTATATGTGTAACTTTTAAGAATGTATGATACACAATGAGACTTTCCCCAGTGATGAGAATGCGAAATCATGTTAAGGAGATTAGAGGATAAGGAAATTGGGAAGGTGTGGAAACCAAATCTTTACTTTAAAAAAGAAAAGCAGAAATTGTGAGAAATGAAAGAATTAAGTTTCTAGGTAAGTAGATAAGAAATCAACACAGGCAGGCTAACTTCTCCATCCGGGGGTGGAGAGGGTTGGGGGGGATAACACAATTCTAGGCACATAATGTATATTAGGGGTGTGACATATAAGGAAGATTGTAACCCAGAAGGATTAGAACCAATCCTGATCCAGAAGGGAGGAGTTAGGCATTTACTAACTATAAAGCTTGCCCTGGCTTTTTTTACCGTGTGCATTTCTCTGCTTCCAATGAGGTACACCTGCTTCTCAAGAGAATTGAAATGACACACTTCAACATCTTCAATAAAAAGTTTTTGAAACACCAAAAAAAAAAAAAAGAAACAAATGTATGATACAGCTTTTGCCAAGGAGTATTTAGAACATTTTCTTAAGAACACATATGCTTGTCATAGCAGATGCCTTTCTTTTCATTAGGGTCTTGTTCTTTGTAATGGCACTCTAAACAAATGAATATAAAGGGTAAGTGCATGTATATATTGTGATAGGAAATACAGTTTATGTCAACTTTAGATTCCACTGTTATGGAATCTGATGACTTGTTTCTAAACCATCATTCAGAGAACATGAATATCACGCATTCAGAAAATTTGAGGAGAAAGAATACTTGACCAAATTCTTTCATTTCAAAAATGAGTATTATTCCTTTTAATGTTAATACATTTTTAGAGTGAAAAGATATCATCCCAATTTGAGGTTAGATTCAAGTTATGGTAATACAAACACACAATGCTGAATTTTAAATGGAAGGTGAGGTATAAAAATAAAGCTATAGGGTGACAATTCTTAGTAGATAACCAGGTTCCTATGCCTTGCGAATGTGAATGACTCAATGAATGCTTCATAAGGCAGATGAAACTGTGTCCCTGTTCCTCTGTTGAAAGCTCGTACTCTTAATCTGTTCCCTTTCTCAATCTAAAGATAAAAGCTAAGTTTATTCTTTGACAGTCCAGTTAATCAACAGCAGCTACTTTCCTTAAAATAAACACAGACTTTTGAAACAACAGAAAACATGAATGTTATTCTTGTGCATTATGAAAACTGAGAACCATTTTCTTTTTGGATGAAGAATGAATTGTACTTGATAGAGATTTGGAATCCTTTTCTACTTTCAACACTCAGCCAAGAGAGACTATTGCAGCATTATCCAGCTGCCAAATAAAACACAGCAGTTACTGTTGTCCAGTCTCTTTGTTATATGGCCCCAAGTATACAAATGGTCTACATTTAATCCATTTTATGTGATTATATGTATACATACGTGATCCTGGAAGAGAATTTAGCATTTTATCAATACCTTCCCCTTACTTGACTTCAGCTGTACTTAAGTAAAAGTGGAGACTGATTCTTAAGTGTGATTCCAGTATACTCTGCCTTCAATTAATATTTCCACCTGTAGGGTTGGTGGAACCTGGATATGTTTATCCAAAATAAAATCAGAGAGCATGAACAGAAAGTGAAATTTAAGTTCAGGAATACCATTGTAGACAAAATCATAATGCTGACCAATATTACTTTGGAAAGCCAAGTGCAGTGCTGCAACCCAGAAATCCTTTTTATATGAAAAACTACCAGTTGCATGACTATAACTGCCACATTTCTACATGTAGAGGTAGATACAGCTTGAACATCCTATGAATGGAACATTCTGTTGCTTCTGGAAAGACAAAAGGTAAATAGAGCAAAATCTGACATTGGACAAACCCAAACATTCTGATAATTGACACCTGTCCGTGTATCTCCAGGTTCCTATATAGTGCTTGCTATGTGCCAAGCGGGCACTAGGTGGCACAGTGGATAGCTTACCTCATCTGTAAAATGAACTGGAGAAGGAAATGGCAAAACCCTCCTGTATCTTTGCCAAGGAAATCCCAAATATGGTCATGAATAGACTGAAAAACAACTACAAAATGTGCCAGGCACTGTGCTCAGCACTTCATAAATATTATCTTCTTTGATCCTCACAAAACCGCTGGGAGATAGATGCCATTATTATCCCCATTTTACAGATGAGGAAACAGGCAAATAGAGGTTAAATGACTTGCCCAGGGTCACACATATGTACGGCTAGATTCAAACTCAGGTCTTCCTAACTCCAGACCCAGTGCTGTATCCACTGAGCCACCTAAATGCTAATTTTCAAGTGCTTTCTGAACCCTTGGGGAGAGATTAAGCCATGTTCAGAATAATTTTTGTGTCATGTTATATTTTATTATAATGTCTTTAAATTTTGGTCATTCTTTAATCACTCAGCAATTAAGTGGCTTTTAGTGCACTATGTGCCAGGCTCTGTCTTGGCATATAGGGAGGAGGGACAGGGAATGTAGGGGAATACAAATATACAAATACAGTACAATGAATGAAACAATCCCTACTGGCAAAGAGCTTATATCCTTAAATGTAAGTTATTGGTATGTGTATGCTAATCAGTATATTTGATTAACCAAAACACTAGAGTATATTCCAGCCATGCCAGGTAATAGGTTTACTGTATTAGTCTCTGCTGTGACTCTTCTGAAAGTATTGTACTCTAGATGTGAAAAACAATAGGACTCTGAAACCATATAGTCTTTACCTCTGCTCATGGCTAAAAGCTACTATTTAAAATAGTTTACTGCCTTATAAAAGTGAATAATCACTGTCATTTAGGGAAATTGCTTTATAATCAAGAACTGCTTAGGTAACTTTAGAGGATCCAATTCTAGTTAAATTTGTAACTTTTTTTCCCCTCTTAAATAAAATTTGAAGTTTGTAACCTTATCTTTTGGTTATGTGAATTAATTTTCAGGTGCTTCCTGAAAATTCCACTGGGTAATACAATTGACTACTGTCATATAGAGTGGCAACTAGGTGGCACAATGAATAGAGTTCTGGGCCTGGAAACAGGAAGACTTCCTGAGTTCAACTTCTTCCTCAGACTCTTACTAGCTGGGTGACCCTAGGCAAGTCACTTAACCTTGTTTGCCTCAGTTTCTTCATCTGTAAAATGAGCTGGAGAAGGAAATGGCAAACCACTCTAGTATCTTTGTCAAGAAAATCCCAAATGGGATCACAGAGTTGAATACAACTAAAAACGACTTAATAACAAAGCATATAGACTGCCTATTTTGAATGAAGAACCTGTTTGTTGTAGACTTAACTCTGATACTTGTGTGTATAACCACATACATATGTGTGTATATAGCATGTTAGACAATATATATGTGCATATGTGTGTATGTGGCTAAATGGCTTACCCATGGTAGCAAGCAAAGCATTTATCAGAGGCAAGACTAGACCTCCACTCTTCTTGACCCCACTCATTGAGAGTTACTATATGGCCAAGGTTCTTAACCTTTTTTGTATCATGGATTCTTTTGGCAATCTGGTGAAGCCTATGGATCTCTTCTCAGAATCATGCTTTTAAATAATTGAAGTAAATGCTAAATTTCAAGTAGAAGTTGGTGAAAATAAAGATAAGTTTTTCCCATCAAAGTTCATAGATTCATTGAAATCTACCTATGGACCCCTTTGGGGTCCTCCCAGGCTAAGAATCCCTGCTCTAGAGGAAATAAGTTTATCATAAGCCTCCTCTATGAAGGGCACTAGAATTATTCACCATACCCCAGCTGGTGAAGTAGGAGTTAGCACTATGTAATTATTACAACAGAAGAAATACCTAAATAACTTAATTAGCTTCTCCTAGCTCCTTATGGCACTACTGATGGTTTGCATCCGTGTTCCACTCTCTGAAGTTCCCCTTGGTGAGTGGATTTCCCATTGAAGTCAAAAGCATTTCCTATCTATTAAGAGATCCTCTACATGGAAAGGGGAAAGGCCATGAAAACACAACATATGTAGAATACGTAATTGTAGACGTTATTATAGCTTTCAATAACAATGACTTAGGATTCCAAGGGGATAGAAAGAACAGACTCTAGTATACTACTATAAATCAGTATCAAAAGATAACCTTGGTTAAAAATTGAGCTTTAGGGGTATTTAGGTCCCATATTAATGCATTTTAGATATCACTACTCACTTCAAAGAATATAAAAACATTTATTTGAATTAAGTAATATTTGTAAAACCAAGCAGACATAGAGTTCTAGGGCCCAAGTGAAAATGGACTGCAGAAAAACAAGAATTTTAGCAGAACCAGAAATAAGAAATAAACCCACATCACAGTACCATATTTTTTTTTCAGACTAATGTTACTACCATAAGATGCCATTGGATATATGTATTATTATAATACTTAGTATAATGTACATACAGTCAATACATGTGATCTGACTTATTGATTGCTTAATATGACATTAATGCCAGACATGAGAAGTAGGTGAAGATAGAAGTGAGCTCTGGGTTCTTTTTATCCTATCCATAGCACTGAATGAAATATTTTCCCACCATTTTCTTTTTAGGTTAATTATTTTGTGTCATTGTTTTTTGGAGTGCCTGTTCTGCACAGCAGGGAAGCTTTGAGAATGACTAACATTTATGAGAAAATAGACCAGTATATTAAATTAAATAAGATGTATGCAGCTGGGAATATTATCCGAGAGTACTTATCGATGGCATGGGTGTCGATCCGCATGCTCACATAACTCCGTTGGCTTTTCCTTCTTATGGCATTCCTCTCAGAACCCAGAGCCAGCTGCATCATCATCCGGTCTTGCTTATCTCCATGGTCTGACACATAATTTCCTAGGTCGTTCACCTCTGCATCACTGTAGCTGCTACCCATCATCATGGCCCTGGGCTGAGGTATACCACAAGTACAGGGAAGCTGTGAACATGGCAGAGAGACCAACAGGAAAAAACTAATTCAGTGTGGCTAGCCTTAGCGATGTTACAAAATTAGCAATTCCATAATTAATGAATGTTGTATTTCTCTCTACCTTAAAACACACATGCACACCCACCTTAAAGGAGTTGTTATGTCTTTAACATCAGATTAGAATGAGAAAAGGCATTGTTGGCTCAGAATCAGGACCCACTAGCCATCTGCCAAATGTTTGGTTTTTCCCATGTTTATCAGAGTGGCACTCTGAATTAACCAGGTTTCTTTTGGAGCTGAGCAGTGGCACAGGAAGTGACCCCAAACATGGTGCCTACTGCAGCCATGGTGATGTTTCTCAAACCTCACTATTTACGATTCAGGAGGGAAAAACATGAGGTAGTAGGCAGACCCCACCAAGCTAATGACCGCACCAGTATTGGTGGTGACAAAGGCCTTGCAGTGACCATCTAGGATGACCTAGTACAATTATCCCTTCCACATCACAACTTTCTCCATGGTGGTTTTGATATATCACAGGTCAGCATAAGAAATTAAGTGAGAATTTTTGGGGAGTTTTGTGGAAGCCCCAAACAATACACAAAAGCCAGCAGATGACACAAAAAAGTTTAGAAACTTGGAAATGCATAAAATATATGTATGGTATTGTATAAATAACAACATTTTATCTTTTAATACCATAATTCAGACATCTCCGGTTTAAGGAGAAGGGCCCTTTTTTATGCAGATTTCCCAGATCACTGGGGCACCACACCCTAACCTAATGTGGATGGGGCAACAGTACTTCCTTTGAAATACTGATGCCATGCCCCAAGGGCAGCAACTCAACTGCCCCATAATTCTTTTTAATAAAAAAAAAATTTAGGAGCAAAAATCTTTGTTTTATCTCAGTATTTATTATTCCTTTTGGGAAGTATAGCACGGTTTCAGCTGCTTGAGGGGACATATTAAAGATTAGCTATAGCTCCTACCCTCAAAGAGATTATAATAGAATACAGGAAACAACATAAATGTATATAGATAAATATAACAATTGCAAGAATATAGTAGAGGAGAAGACATGGACTTGTACTGCTAAGCAGCTACTCATTAGAGCAAACTTTCTGGAAGACGGATTTTGAAATGCAGTTTGTAGGAACAGAGGGACGTGGATAGGCAGACTGGGCAATCTGGGAAAAATACGGGAGATGTATATGTAGATTAAATGGGAATGTGTGCAAAGCACTTTGCAAACCTTAGAGGGCTCCATAGGGTGTCCCCAAAGTCTTAGTGAAGTTTTATGCTATTGAAGTTTTAAGTTATTAAAACTTCACTAAAACCTTTGGGACACCCTTTATAAATATTAACTATTAATGTTTTTACAGATTTCGGCTTACCCAGAAAGGATCAGAAAATCACAAATACAGAGGGGGCCTTAGAGATCATTTAGTTCAACCCCACCCTTCCCACCCCACATTTTTTAGATTAGGAAACAGAAGCCTAGGTTAAGTAACTTGTTCAAAGGCGCACAGACAATAAGACACAAAGCCAGGACATGAAGCTATATTTTTTCACTCTTTCCAGAGCCTGTGTTTTTTGCACCATGTCATATTGCTTCACCATACTAAAGGCCAAAGCAGCAGTTCTCAAGCTTTTTGATCTCAGGACCCTTTGCTCCCCAAACAATTCTTGAGGATCCCAAAGAATTTATGTTTACATGGATTATATCCATCAATATTCACCATATTAGACACTAAAACTGATGTTTTAAAGAATAATCATTTATTATTTTAAAGTAACAATAGCAAACCAATTACATGTTAACATAAATAACTTTTTAATGAAATTAATTATTTTCCAAAACAAAAAAAAAACCTAGAAGAGTGGCATTTTTAATATATTTTTGCAAATGTCTTTAATATATGGCTCAATAGAAGATAGCTTAGATTCTTATATCTACTTTTGTATTCAATTCTGTATTCTGTTGTAACAGGTTGTTTTGGTTGAAGTATATGAAGAAAATTCAGCCTTGTGCAGATATATAGTTGGAAAGGGAGAATAATTTTAATAGGCAAAAAGCATCTTAGTACGCTTATCTTCGTTTTTACCTTGAAAGGGTCTTGGGGACCCCTGGGGTCCTTAAATCACACTTTGAAAACCACTGGGCCAAAGTATGAGAGAAAATGTGAGATCTGATTGCCAATCACAAGCCCAAAGCTTTAATTACACAATGACATCACCTTGTCTCGAAGCTCCCTCTCCTTCCGCTCCTGTACGGTGGTCAGGTAGTTCACGGCTGCGTACTCCAACACGGAGAGAAATACAAACACAAAGCTGACCCACAGGTAGATGTCCACTGCCTTGATGTAGGAGACACGAGGCATGGAGGCATTAACACCAGTGATGATTGTAGACATGGTGAGGACAGTTGTGATACCTGGAAACACACCATTGTACTTGAAGACTCAATTTGCACTGTCAGAGTTTTCATTAGTTCTTTGCTGCCTCTCATCTGTCTTAAGTTTCTAGTTAAAGAAAAAAATCCCCCTTTGTGTTATGTGGTTGAGAATTTTGAAACCAGTGAATTTATTTGTCAGAAAGTAGATATAGCAGCTGAGTAGAAGTATCATGGTGAAAAAAAGCTTTGGATTTGGAGTCAGGAGACCTGGGTTTAAATCTGTCTTTGCAAATGCCTACTCATATGACTTTCAGCAAGTCATTCAATGATAGCTAGTATTTATATAGCACTTTAAGGTTTTCAAAGTGCTTTACAAATATTATCTCACAACATCCCTGAGAGGTAGGTGCTTTTATTTTCCCCATTTTATAGATGGGAAACTGAGGCTATGAGAGATTGTGATTTTCCTAGGGTTACACAGCTAGTAAGTATCTGAGGGTCACATTTGAACTCAAGTCTTCCTGATTCTAGAGGTAGTGTTCTATCCACTATGCTGCCCAAACTCTTTGGGCTTTATTTGTAAAATTAAGAGGTTAGACTAGATGACCTCTAAGGTCCATTCCGGCTTTAAATCCGCAATTCTAAACTTTAAAGTGCTTTATAATGTAATAATATCCATCCCTGCAAGGCCTGGGCTGCCAGCCTCGTTTGTTTGTTCAGTAGTTTCAATCATCTCTGACTCTTCATGACGTATTTGAAGTTTTCTTGGCAAAGATACTGGAGTGGTTTACCATTTCCTTCTCCAGCTCATTTTACAGATGAGGAAACTGAGGCAAACAGGGTTAAGTGACTTGCCTAAAGTCACACAGCTAGTAAGTGTCCAAGGCCAGATTTGAATTCAGATCTTCCTGCCTCCAGGCTCAGTGCTCTATTCATTGTGCCACCAGGAAGACAGGAAGTATGGAAAGAAAAGTGCTTATTATCTAAACTAACTCTTTAATGAATGACTTCTGCTGGACTTCATAAATAGTAATTTCCATAACTATCCTTCCACCAAAGCAAATGACTGTACAAGCAACATTCCCTGGCCATATGTTCCTATCAGCTCACAGCTTTGGTACAGGCCGGGGTGAAGAACACATGATGCTTGGCTTTAAAATTTTGCTGTTCTCTCCTTTAACACCCATAACATTGTTCTTTTGAATGTTTGTTGCTTGACTGTTTGTTGTTGCTGCTGCTGCTGCTGCCCGACCCTTTAACTCGAAGCTGTCACCTCTGTTCCAGAGGTGGCTTCAGTGGCATGTGGATCTGGGAGTTCAATCCTCGCTTCTACCAAGGGAATCACAATAGCCAGACATGAAGGAAACGGATTCGTAAACCAGAAATGCCTATTTATTTGTATTGTATCAGTTCATGCTACAGTGCAACTGCTGCTCACCAGACAGCAGGTCGCCAGTGAAAATTCATCTGGAAATGAAATTAATTTTAAAATTTATTACATTAAGATGAGAACATCCGCTTGGCAAATATGGAATCAGAAGGAATTGGGGTGATCCTTAGAGACCTCTCCATCAGGGTTGTTATCTGTCTTGGTGGTGTGCCCACTACCACCAATGCAACTATGCCTGTACAAACAACAGGTGGGGTTTGGGTTTTTGTAGAGTGGTTAGCTACAAGGGGTCTTGAAGCATAATTGTTAGTTGATGGCAGGCCAAATGTCCTCTCCCCACCTTTCGTGCAAATTATACTAAGGCAGGCTCTTTCTTATAATGAGTGGCTATTACATGAATGTAAGTAATAGAATAACATTGTCCCTTACTTAAGACGATATGAAATGGAGGCACAGAAGGGGTTAATAATTTTTTTACAATCACATGATGTATAAAATAAAATCCATAGAATTATAAAGGAAACCAATTATATTGAAATATACTTATCAAAAATCATCATGCCCCCTCATTCTTCTCCCCTGCAAAGTTTTATTGAATGCAATTTTGTTTTCACATTACAAACATTTACAGATTATCCTTACTCCCTAATATGTCTCTTTTAACAAAGTAAACTATAGAGTAGGACACAAATTAAAACAACTCAACAACAGCAATGATATAGTGACCCCATCTAAACTCCGCCAGACAGCAAGCAATCTGATATAGGCCATACATGTACAGTCACATTAAACATATTTCTACATTAGTCATGTTGTGAAGGAAGAATCGGGATAAAAGGGAAAAACCACAAGAAAGGAAAAACCAAAAAAAAAAGAGAGAATGTAGTATGTTGTCATTATTTTAAACAAGTTATCTTTTATTTCTGTGATTTGTTCTTTGATTCACTAATTCTTTAGGATTGTTAGTTGATTTTTAATGATTTGAAATGGCCCTTTAATATAATTTTTATTGAATTATAATCAGTAAAGAGTATATACATAATATTTTTGCTTTTCTGCAATTTTTCCTATCCTCATATGGCTTTTCACCATGCTGGTTATCCTTTGCTGAACACTCTTTAGCTTTTCAATGTCCTTCATAAAATGTACTGCCCAGAACTAATCACAGTACTTCATATGTGACTTCACTACAGCATTGTGGAGTTTTCACCTGATTTATGGTACATACATACCTCAAGTTTTTTTGGCTACATACTGGTCCTGTAATCCATTAAGTTTTATTTTATTTTTTTTGTTTTGTTTTGTTTTAGGAAAAATAAAAGACCAGTTATCTAATATTGCCTCTGTACCTTGAATTTTTGGAGTTGATTTTGAACCCCTAATTTTTTTTACATTATTTTTATTACATTTCATCTTATTGTATGTTTGCCCTTAAGCATTTGAAAGGCTGTCATGGGGAAAAGGGCTTGGACTTACTCTGCTTAGCCCCAAAAGGCAGAACCAGGGGCTAGGGTGAAAGTTGCAAATAGGGGTAGCTAGGTGGCACAGTGGATAGAGCTTTGGACCTGGAGTCAGGAGGACCTGAGTTCAAATTCAGCTTCAGACACTTACTAGCCGCCTGACACTGGGCAAGTCACTTAACCTCGAGTGCCCCCACCACCAAAAAAAAGTTGCAAATAGACAAATTTAGGCTTGATATCATGAAAAACTTCCTAACTATTAGAACTGACCAACAGTGAAAGAGGTGGTGGGTCCTCCCACCCCTGGAAAATCTTCAAGTAGATGTTGAAGGACCACTTGCCTTGTTAAAGTAGATGATCACTGAGGTCCCTTTCAACTCTGAGATTTTATGATTCTTTTGTAATTGAATTAAGCACTGTTTACATGGTTTATACGGAGTCATAAAAACAGCTTTGCCACATGGAAACTGTATTGAAATGGCAGTCATTTTCATGGAATTTTACCTATAAGTTAAGAGTCTTTCCAACCTTGCAGTATGAAATAGTATAAAGGAAAGCTTTTTTAAAAAAAATTCTGAACGTAAGAAATAAAACAACCATTTCCATAACATAGGAGAATAGAAAAAAAGATGATTATGCATAAAACTGCAAATCTGTTATGTACAACTTGCTATTCCTTTTAAATATTGAATAAAGTTTTCATGTAACTTTTTTTACTTTTTTTCCTTCCCATTAGACATAAATGTGTGTGTGTGTGTGTGTGTGTGTGTATAAAACCATTCTATACATCTATTTAATCAGTTCTTTCTCCGCATGCAGATAGTGTCTTCCTTCATAGGACCTTTGTAGTTAATTTGAGTATTTATTATAGTCAAAATGACTTACTCAAAGTTGTTCTTAAAACAGTATTACAGTTACTGTATACAATGTTCTCTTGGTTCTGCTCATTTCTCTCTTCATTATTTTAAGTCTATCCATGCTTTTCTAAGATCATCGAGCTCATCATTTCAAAGTAGTATTCCATCACAATCATATACCACAACTTGTTCAGCCATTCTCCAATTCATGGGCATCCCCACAATTTCCAATTCTTTGCTACCACAAAGAGAGCTCCTATAAATATTTGTTTGAGGAAGCTTGTTAAGGGTTAGGTAGATCCTAAGACAATTATTTATATTGTTTAATACCTGTGTTGTAGTTGAGATATCCTTACCTAAAGGAACTCTGGCAGGCACAGCCCTACGATCAATCCAGAAGGACACCCAGGACAGCATGACCATCAAAGTAGCAGGGAAATAGGTTTGCAGCAAGAAAAAGAAGATGTGACGACGTAAAGTGAAGTTAATGTACAAGCGGTTGTACCACCCTACAATGACAGAGGGAAAGAAAAGAGAGCATATAGTATCTTAAACACTTCCCCCTAGATGCCCCACATAAACATTATTGACACTTTATCATACCTCTGGAAGTAGGAGTGAAGAAGACTCAGGTAGAGAAAGAAGTTTTATAATTAACTATACCACATAGTTGAATCCCCAGAATAACAAATAACACAAGATCAAGTGTGTCTTTTTTGGCCACTGAACCCCATAAGATCCATTTTACTTTATGAGAAAAAAGATGTTTTTAGTTAAATTGTTGAGCTGCATTTAACTGCAAAGTATTTGTAGGTCCATCTATGATATATGTTTATAAATTCATCTTGTATTCATAATACTAAAGAATTATGAATGAAGAAAATAACAGTGATGAGATATAGTGGGAAAATGATAGAGTTAATATTACTCTGCAAAGTGGAGGAGCAGACTGGAGTTTAGATCCTACTTTAGATACTTACTAGCTGTATAACCCTGGGCAACTCATTTAACCTCTGCCTGCCTCAGTTCCCTCATCTGAAAAATGGAAATGCTATATCTATAATGATCTGCCCCACAGAGTTGGAGGATCAAATGAAATGTTATGTGTGTGTGTGTGTATATACAATATACACATACACATATACATATATATATATATATATGTAGAGAGAGAATGTGTGATACATGTATATGTAATATACACGTATATATACATATGTATGTGTATACATGTATATATACACACACATATCACTTTCCGAACTCTAAGTGCATCCACCATTTATAGACCTTATCCCACTGCTAATCAACTCAAACTTTGATCTGTTCCATTTCTGACTTTGGCCAGTTTGCCCCTCCTTAGATGGCTTGGCAGCCTCCTGCTGCCCCTGGGGGTTCATCCATATTGGTACTAGACTTAGTGTAGGTACTATTCAGCTTTAGCCCTACTGCAGCTCAGAACTCCTGAGCTTAAATGATCCGCCAGCGTTAGTCTTCCTAGTAGCAGGCACTATAAATGTTAGCCAGTAGTAGTTTCTCTGAGTTCTGTCATCCTAAGTTAGTTGAGTGGGTGTGGTACCAAAGGCAAACTGAGGCTGTAGTTGATAAAGGTCATGACAGTCTATCTGCTAGGTAAAGAGGATGTCCAAATCACCTCAGCTTAATTACTCATCTCTTCAGGATTCTCACCTTTGGCTTCAAAACCCTCTAACTCCTGAGAATTTGTGCTCATAGCTTATTTTGCATTGGAAAGAGACCTTAGGAAATATCACACACAATCCCTTCATTTTAGATATGTAGAAACTAAGGATCAGAGAAGTAAAATGATTTGTCCAGGGCCACCCAGTTGACTTGACAGAGACAGAAATTGGATGCAGATTTCCTAGATCCTAGGTAGTAAGTATCTTTCCACTGTATGATGCTGCCTCTTTGAGAACCATTAGATTCTTCTGGGAATTCGGGTGTCATAGAAAGACTGGGTAGCTATGTGAGCCCAAAGCGTTAATTATAATAAAAAGCAAAGCAAAATCCAGCCCACATCCTCAGGCCTCCCTCCAATAGGCTTGCCTGTGCTGCTGTAAAAGGCAAGCTTGGTGGTGGTATGGAATTCTTGTATCAGGAACTGGGACAAGGAGATCCTCTCATCTGTCTTTAAGGAATCGTTCCCTTTTTTCCAATAGAGCATGAGGTCATCTTCTGTGTAGGCATCTAAAAAGACAGAAGGAATCATTAGAGACAGTGTACTTTGAGGAAGAATGTATAAAGGACTGAGCAAGAAGGGCAGTTAGGTGCACAGTGGATAGAGTTCTGGCCTTGGAGTCAGGAGGACCTGAGTTCAAATGTAGCCTCAGACACTTGACGCTTACTAGCTGTGTGACCCTGAGCAAGTCACTTAACCCGATTGCCTCACCAAAAAGCAAAAACAAAAACAAAAAACTGGGCAAGAGATTTGTTTGAATCTGCCCTCAGACACTGACTTAGCTGAGTGGGGCAAAACATCTGAACTCTCTCAGCCTCAGTTTTTTCATCTGTAAAATGGAGATAACAGTGCCTATTTTGCAGGGCTTTATCTCTAGGGTAAGGTGACAGTACCTACTTTATACGACTTTAGCAGGGTAAAGCCTTGTAGAGTAAATGGAGTCACTATTAATAATAGTACCTTACTAATTGGGTACTAATAATTAGTAAATACTAATAGTAGAACCTACTTTACCTTACTTTGTGAGGATCAAATGAGATCATATATGTGAAGTATTTTGCAAACTTTAAAGTGTTATATTATTAGCTATTATCTCTCTCTCACCCAAGGGTAAAAAAAATAAATTAGGGTTCAATTTCACCATCAAAAAACTCATTCTTATGTGGTAATTTGTTTGGCTTGACTATCCCTATGTGTTTAGAGGGTTTTGTTTTTCTTTTTTCAGTTGGGTGGGAAAAAGGGGAAGAAGTGGGAAAAAGAGAAAATAAAATTTGGTTAATTAAAAGGTTTTCATTTAATTTTTAAAAACTTTATCCTCAAATTCCTGCTCTTTTTCCATTTTCTCTGGCTTCTTTAGCTCTGCCAATTTTCCCTTCTCTGTTTACTGAAATTGGGCACATGCAGTTAAGTTACCCAGGTTTAAAGCACTAAAACAGTCCTTTCCTTTCCTTGTCACCACTTTCTTCTTTTTAGTTCAAATTTACTTCTCCAGACCTTTACCCCGAGGTTTATAGTTTTAGTCTCTGAAGAAATAAGGAACATTCCTGGTTGGGTCCCAGATTCTCTGCTTTTAGATTCTACAGTCAGCATAATAAGCCTTCTAGCTTATTCTCATATACATTTCATCTTCCCAATCTATGCTTGTGCATTGGCTGACCACTGTAGGTAAGTAGATGGATGACAGAGAGATGGAGCATTTATTAAGTGTCAAGCACTGTGCCATGCCAGGAATGCTCACCCACAACCTGCCCCTCTTCACATCTACTTCTCAGAATCCCTGGCTTCCTTCAAGGTTCAGTCAAATGCCACATCTTACATAAGGCCCTCCCCAAATCTCCCAGTTGCTAATCCCTAACAAACCCCTCCATTATCTCATATTATTTCATCCGAAGAGGAAATATATGTAAAGCACTTTATGAATCTTAAAGTGCTACATAAATTATGTCTATTATTAATAATAATTTTGTATATGTTTATATGCACACATTCTCCATCATCTTCCTCCTATCCCCTAAAATGTGAATTCCTTGAGGATTAACAATATTTTTTTCAAAAATTTTTTTGGGGGGGGCCTATGCAATGGGGTTAAGTGACTTGCCCAAGGTCACACAGCTAGTAAGTGTTAAGTGTCTGAGGCTAGATTTGAACTCCTGACCCTAGAACCTGTGCTGTATCCACTGCGCCACCTAGCTCTCCCAGGAATATTTTATTTTTTACTCTTTATCCCCCACACCTAGCAAAGTTGATTCAGTCATTTTTTTAGTTGTGTCCAACTCTCTGTGACTCCATTTGCAGTCTTCTTGGCAAAGATACTGAAGTGGTTTGCCATTTCCTTCTCCAGTTCATTTTACAGATGAGGAAACTGAGGCAAATAGGGTTATGTGACTTGCCCAGGATTACACAGCTGGTAAGTGTCTGAGACCTGATTTGAATTCAGATCTTCCTGCCTCCAGGCCTGACACTCTATCTACTTCACTGCTTAGCTGCCCCTATTTTACATTTTATAGTTGAGGAAACTGGGGAAGACAGATTAAATGGCTTAACTAGAATCACACAGCTAGGTGGTGTCTGAAGCTGGATTTGAACTCATCTTCATGACTCTAGGCCTTCTATCCACTATGCCACCTAGCTGTTTCTAGGGTTTATAATACCTGTTTGCCAAAACATAAGCCATCCATGCCTGCTCACTCCATGTGACTCTCTCTGTCCTATCCAAAACGAAAAGTAGGAGGCAGGGCTCTTATTCACCAGTCATGCCTCCAAGTATCTACAGCCCATGCTCTGAGAGGCGCTTGCTATAGTTAAAAGTCATGATGGTAGGGTAAGGGAAGGGAGCTGACATGGAATTTTCCAAAAGTATCTGTAAGAGTCCCAACCCAGCTCAGAAGGGTTGAAGGTGGAAGCTGGCATATCTGAGTGAGGGGAGAGTTAGGGAATGAGGTCTTTAAAGCAACAGTGGGATGTGACCAAACTACCCTTTACACCCCTTAGGGTTATACCTCAAACCGACCTACCCACCCCCACCCCCACCATGGAGTGACACCAGCAGAGCCTCCACTTTGGAGATCACTGCTCTTGAGGATAGAAAAGGCATGTTGCAGGAGTGTTGGATTTTATTCCTGAAATCATTCCCCATTTTTAAAGTTATCATTGAAGTAACTTTTTGGAGCCATGGTCAGATGGGCTACATTACAATAATATCTATGCTACAGTAACATCTAACAGTAGTCCAATGGAACAAACATTTATCAAGCACCTACGAAAGTACAGACTTCTGTGCTTAGGCATTGGGAGAGATATAAAGAACACAAAGAGAAAAAAAGAGAGACCTGGCCCTAGCCAGTAAGGAGTTTATGATTAAATGAGGGTTAGGAGGAAGATGAGACACACAGATAACTGTAACTCAAAAGAAGAAAGAGATAAGTATTCTTATAGAACCTACCATGTGCCAGGCACTGTGCTAAGTGCTTTTTACAACTATGATCTCATTTGACCCTCAAACAATCCCATAAGGTAGGTACTGCTATTATACTCATTTTATAGTTGAGGAAACTGAGGCACACAGAGGTAAAGTCACTTGCCCAGGGTCATGCAGCTAGTAAATGTCTGAGGCCCAATTAATCTCAGAACTTCCTGACTCCAGGCCCAGCACTCCATTCACTTCACCACCAGCTGCTTCTGTGGCAAAAGAGAACATATGAATAGGGGGCCTGTAATTCTGAGTGAGAAAAATTGAAAGGGGGTAAGGGATTGTTACACATCTGTCACAATGTATAACACACAGCAGTCGTTTAATGTTTGTTGCATTGAATCGAATGAATTTTAACAGACATGTTTTTAATTTCTGGACCCAATTAACTCACAACTTTCAATTTCGAGCGAACATGTCTGTGTGTCCAGAGGAAAGCGGCTGAAATCCATATTGCACATTGCAGTCACAGTGACCCTAGAAATAAAATGACACAAGGAAAACTCTCAGAGCCTGTAAAATACACAATGAATATAAAATGATTAGTGAAAAAGGCACTTGCTGTTTTCCATCGAGGTGAAACACCTAACCTCCTGCAGTGTAATTAAATACACTGGGACTTAGGGGAAGTTGGAAAACAAAACGTTTTGGGGCTATAGGATTTAGAGGTGGGAGGGACTGGAAAGATCATGGTTCCACTGCCCCATGTTACAGATGAGGAAACTAAGGCCCAGACAGCCATCAAGCAGAAGAGCCAGAACTCAAACCTAGGTCCTTGGATGCAAAATCCACAGCTGTTTCTCCCATACCACACTGATGTCAGGGCTAACCATATGCTTCCACTAATTTATATCACACGCAAACACTATTACAAAGGTCTCAAAACATGGCAATTAAAATAAATAAGGTAAAAGCATATCTGACTTCCAAAAGAACGACGTCTTAATAAATGCTTATGCTCTCCTCTTTCCATATTCTTCCTCTTGGCAACCTCATTAGTTCCCATGGTTTCAATTATCTTCTCTATTCAAATGACTTCAAATCATATTCTATCTTCATTTCTCTTTGGAGTCCAGTTCCAGCTGCCTGCTTAACATCTCCACTTGGATATCCCATCAGCATCTTAAACTCAACATGGATAAAACAGAGCTCATTATCTTTGTCTCTAAAATCACCTTTCTTCCCAAATTCCCATTTCTGTTGAGAGTTCCACCATTGTTCCAATCATACCAGTTTATAATCTTAGAGTCATTCTTTACTCTTCACTCTTACTTGCTCATGCATGCTCAGTGAGTTGCCAAGTTTTATGGGCTCTATCTCTAAGATATCTTTTGCATCCTGTCTCCTCTCCACTCATACCACAACCATACTACTTCAGGTCCTCATTGTCTCTCGCCTGGACTAATGCAATAGCTTTCTAATTGATCTCCTTACCTCAAGTCTCTTTCCTCTCCAATTCATCCTCCAAACTGATATTCTCTTTTTTCTAAATAGTATTTTTTTCATTTACATGTGAAGATAATTTTCAACATCCATTTTTTATAAGATTTTGAGTTCCAAATCTTTTCTTCCTTCCTCCCTCCCATCCCCCCTCCCTAAGATGGCAAACAATCTGATATAGGTTATACATGTACAATCATGTAAACATATTTCCACATCAGTCATGTTGTGAAAAAAGAAACGGAACAAAAGGGAAAAGGTACAAAAAAGTGAAAATAGTATGCTTTCATCTGCATTCAAACTCCATAGTTCTTTCTCTGGATGTGGATAGCATTTTCCATCATGAGTCTTTTAGAGTTGTCTTAGATCATTGTATTACTGAGAAGGGCTAAATCTATTGTAGTCAGTCATTGCACAATGTTGCTGTTACTACATACAATGTTTTCCTTGTTCTGCTCACTTCACTCAGCATCAGACCATGCAAGTTTTTCCAGGTTTTTCTGAAGTCTGCCTGTTCATCATTTCTTATAGCACAATAGTATTCCATTACATTCACATACCATACCAAGTTGATATTCTTAGAACACAGTTTGGACCATGTCACTCCCCTGCTCAAGAGGCTTCAGTGGCTCCCTATTACCTCTAGGATAGGGGTTCTTAACCTTTTTTTATGTCATGGAAACCTGTGGCAGTCTGGTGAAACCAATGGACCCCTTCTCAGAATAGTTTTTAAATGTGTAAAATAAAATACTCAGGATTACAAAGGAAATTGAAATACAGCTGAAATACAGTTTGAAATACATATTGAAATGCAGTTATCAAAATATTAAAATAAAAATAAAACAAGACCACAGACCCCTAGGTTAAAGATCCCTGCTTCAAGATAAAATGTGGATGGCTCTGTCTGGCATTTAAAGTCTTTTAATTTTATTCCAATCTATCTTTTCAGGCTGATTACACATTACTCTCACTCATACCTTCTATGTTCCAGCCAAAGTGCCCTATTTGCTGTTCCCTGTACATGACATTCCATCTGCCACCTCCATCCCTTTGTGCAGGCTGTCCTCCATGTTTGGAATGTTTTTCTCTCTCTTCCCCACCTCTTGGAACCCATGGATCCCTTCAAGACTCAGCTCTAGTGCCATCTTCTTTAAGAGGCATTTCTCAATTCTTTCAGTTGTTAGAGATCCCCCCTCTCAAAATCATTGTATTTATTTCGTACATATTAGACATTAAACTATGAGCTTCTTGACAGCAGGGACTATTTTTTGTCTTTCTTTGTATCCCCAGTGCTTAGAACTATGTCTGGCACATAGTATGCACTTAACAAATGGTATTTGTTATATAGCCTATGTTTACTTATCTATGAAAATGTTGTATCCCTCAAAAGAATGGAAGCTTCTCGAGGGAAAGGACAATTTGGCTTTGAATGCCCAGTGTGTAACACAGACCTGGTGGGTACCTAGCAGGTTCTTAATAACTGCTCAGTGATTGATTGATTATTGAATTGAAATTAAAAGACACTTTGAGATTCTATATTGTACTATTCATTTTAGATTACCCAATTTTAAAATTCTTTTGTGGGTATTAAAATGTATATATTATATTTTAGAAATTAAATTAATGAACTTCCAATGCTAATTTTAAATTTTGGTCCATAGGGAGCTACATTTTTTGGACAGGACAATGATATTTTTTAGTTATAATAATTTCCACTAGGGGGCATAGATAATGTTTTTACTGCCAGAATTTAATGGAGTCAACTAGGACTGAAAAGAACCAAAAATATTCTCTTTAAAAATATGTGGATTAAAAATTTTTTTTAATAGTTTTAGTTTAGAATAATCCCATCCTACAAAGAAAAGGGTGTCTTTGCTTTCAGAGCATTGGGTATGGCAAAGAGATAAGAAAATAAAAACAAAGTGTTCTTTCTGAAGAAAATAATATGAAAGAACAGTAATGACAATAATAATAGCCAACATTTATTGAGCGCTTTAAAGTTTACAAAGTGCATTGTGTATATTATCTCATTCAGTCCTCACAACAATCTGGGGAGGTAGGCACTGTTATTATTTGCACTTTACCTATGAGGAAACCAAGAACAACCACTTTGTCCAACATAAATTGAAGAAAAATTATTTCCAAGTACACACAGTAGGAAAATCTTATTTCTGAATATAAACAAAGGCACTTGTTGTTTTTCTCTCTTTGCTTTGTTTTCTATTCCTGCTTGGTCTTTTGCCTCCAATCCCCTAGTCTGTATTCTGTGAAGAATTGAGGACAACACCTGGGTAATAAATGTAACTCAAAAGGCCACTTCAGGGTCAATCATTTGTAAATTTTGAGCAGATATAGTGTTTCAGGATGAATTTTCCAGATCTTTCCACTAATGTGCAGACTCAGTCCTATTCAGAGATCCCTAATCTCCACTGTTTGTATTTCCGTTTCAATTGGGAAACCCTGCAAATGGAGAAGCAAATTAGTGGATTATGATGGAAAAAAGCCATGACAGAGAGAGAGATGCTGTAGAAAGGCGGGCTGTTTACTGACTTTGACATGTACCAGGTGAGGCTTCAATATCCACTGGGAGATTATGAATAGAATTAATTGTAGCATTGCTAGTAAGGAAGTAGCTAAAAACAGAAGACTTAAGAGTACCACTTCTACAGCTTTGTATATCATCCACATGGGAATTTCCATGGGACTAAACTTAGAAGAGTATCAAATTCAGGAAATTCCTTCCTGTTGTTAGTTTATACCTTGAAATAGAGATAAATCTTACTTTAGTATAGGTATGAACCTGCTTAGATGTCACCAAATAATTCCATCAGCTTGCCTCAATGGTTTCTAGAATCAAAAAGTTCTAAGTGTTAAATTCATGCAAATAGAAGGTATTCAATAGAATGTAAGCTCCCAGAGGGCACAAGCCTATTTTTCATTTTGTCTCTGTATATTCCCCTGTCCTTCCATCATACTACTTGGAATGAAGTAGCCTTTCATAAATGCCTGTTGAATTGAATGCAAACACCCCCCAAAGCCTCTTGTTTTTGTTTTCAGATGTATTGTTGGGCATCATGGCAGGGAGCAAAGTATGACTTCTCTATTCATTCTACAGCTCCCCCCACCCCAAATTATTTTATATTACAGAATTCTGGAATTACTTCCTGGTTTCTTAGCATTGCAGATGGCAAAGAGATAAGAAAATGAAATCAACAAATGAAGAAAAGTGTTATTGTCTCTATGTGCCCCATATTATTAACATAACAAGTAAATTTTAACATGCTGTGGAAATAGTAAAAATAAAAAAGAATACTCAAAGAATGGGAATTTCTCAAGACTACTTCTGTATTATGGACAACTAAAGAAACTTGAGGCAGGGAACCAAAATGAGATGAGGCATTGAGTCTGAGTGAGACCTTACATTTGGCCCAAGTTTCACGTGGAAGTGAATTTGATGATGATTTTTAAAAATCTTTCTATGGGTCTTCATCTCTTTGGATAGACCCATGGACATCCTACTATGAAGTTGAGAGGAAGTAGAAGAATGGTAGATTAGATCATCTTATAAGAGAAGACTGATATATTGATGACAAATTATAAAAATCAGTGATTTGGTAACTGCCAGTAGATGTCCAGCTTCTCTAAATTTGTCCCTTTCTCATAAGATTCAGAATGGTTTTACCCAGTAGTTTATAACTTTTTAATACTTCAGTCATTTTTTCAGTCATGTCTGACTCTTTGTGATCCCATTTGGGGTTTTCTTGGCAGAGATACTGCCACATTTCTTTCTCCAGCTCATTTACAGATGAGAAACTGAGGCAAACAGAGTTAAGTGACTTTCCCAGGGTTACACAGCCAGTAAGTGTTTGAGGCTGGATTTGAACTCGTGAAGATGAATCGTCCTGATTCCAAGCCTAGTGCTCTATCCACTGCACCAAATACTTCAATGGACCTACAATTGCATAGGCACATTAGCCCATGCAGATCTTAACCTATTCATACTTCACATTCCTGATCCTGCCTAATTATAAATCCCT